GGTTATATTGGTAGAAGGATGTTGGAGATGGAGCTGCCAGGCAAGAGGTCAAGAGGAAGGCCAACGAGGAGATATATGGATGTGCTAAAAGAGGACATGAAATTAGTTGGGATGAGAGTAGAGGATGCCGAGAACAGAGTTACTGTAGGTGGAAACAGATGATTCTCTGTGGCGACCCCTAACGGTAACAGCCAAAGGAAGAAGAAGAAGAAGACCCTTGATTTATTTTCAATTTATTTTTCAGATATGAGACTGTTATCGAAGGCTGTGCAGTTGGCTGTGAGCCAGAGGGAGTGGAGCCGCAGACACTTCTGGGGCTGGCTCAATGCAATTTTCAACAAGTGAGACAACATTAACATTCTCTTCATTAGGTACACCTGTATGCATCCCAGTAAATAGCCTAGTAAACAAATATGGGTGATTTGCTAAGGTTGCATCAACTAGTCTCATGGGCAGTTTTTTCATTTTTATTATTATTATTGTTATTATTTTTAACTTCTTGCTTCTCCTTTGTTAGCACCAGCCAAATGTGACCGATTACAGTCAATGTCTTCAGCATGTACCGCACTTTGAATGTTTGTTGATCTTCACCCAGGGTGGACTATGAGAGGATCAAAGCTGTGGGTCCAGATCAGGCTGCAGCAGAGTGGCTGCTGAGATGCGGTGCCAAAGTGAAGTTCCAAGGTTTCGATCGCTGGCATCACGACTACAATGGACTGCCAACTGGGCCTCTGGGCAGATACAAGATCCAGGGGATTGACGCTACCGAATCGTGCATCATGCACAGAGGGTTTGACCACCTGGGTCAGTGTTACAGTGGAGAATATTATGTTCTTGTCTTTGTGACTTGTCCCAATCTCATTACCATTTCTTTCCATACAGTCATGCATATTTCCCACTTAAAGTAAATTAAAGACAACAACAACTGCAGGCACACAGTGAAGCAATGGCACTCATTATTGTTCATAGATCCCTGCTACAAATGGGGCAAAAGGTCTGGTCTGAAAGGTGGAAGTCCATATCCTCAACTGTATGCAAAGGGCTTATCCTCTGTACGGCAGACATTTCAGGCTCAGCTCTAACATTCACCGATTTAGATAATTTATAGCTAAAAAAGTATTAATTTTAAAATAAGATTAATACTGAGCCTGATTATTAGACATAAGAATGCATATTTTACCTGCTGGTGGAACTACAATAGATCAATATATTTCAGCTTGAACTTAAGTATTGGACTAACAGGACCATCATTAAAAGTCCAATTAAAGATTGAAGCTATGTTGAGAAAGTGTAAATTTTGCAGTAACTGTTAACATGAGCTTGACCTGAAAGTGATTCCTCTATCTGTTTAGGCAAGAAAGGGAACGCGAGGGTGAAAGTGCATCTGTCCAAAGTGACGCAAGTAACCAGGATGTTTTACACTGGGCAGGCACAGATACAGTCTCTGACCTTGTTGGCTGCAGCGCACCACAGATTTATTTTGGTTTGAACCCTTCTCTGCCCATGTAAATTTAATTAGTGTGCTGATGCTGTTTTTGTGAAAATGTTTTATAGATGGTCTGACATGTGTGGAGGAAATCAAGTTCAACAAGTGTATCTACATCGAAGACACCTGCCTGGAGAGGCTGAGCTCAATAGAGAATCTACAGAACAGTTTGTACCTGATGGAGGTTGTGTCATGTGGAAATGTAACTGATAAGGGCATCATCGCCCTGCACAAGCTCAGGTGAGTGCTCGTGGTAAATTTCAAATTGGTTTTGTTTATTTGTAAAGAATCTGAGGTGTATTTAAATGAAGCAGATTGGTTCATATTTCTGACAAAGAGATGAGTGATTAATCAGTTTCATATACTTTATGAGTGGTTCATGTAATAATCACGTATTAATGACACACAGGAATCTGGAGTACCTGTTTCTCAGTGATCTGCCGGGAATCGAAGACAAACAGACGACAGCTGACAGACTACAGACAGCACTCCCACGTCTAGACTTAGCACTGGACTTGGACTGATTGAGAAACAGCTTCCTGTTATAAATGCAAAGTAGGAACACCCGTTTAAAGGTTTTCAAAGTAAAATCTTGAAGACTAGAGTATGTGGGGCTTCCTTCAGCTGAAACATTAAATGTATTTACCTGTAAATATGGTGATGCCTTCATAATGCTAAAAACTTCCTGGGTTAAAATATTCAGATTTGTTTCATTTCTAAGCTTATATGATCAAGAGTCCAGCAAAAAGAAAAGTTAAAGCACTTTATACTGCTGACACCAGTTTTCTTTGACATAATGATAGTTTATTATAATCTGATATGTGTGTACACAGAGAGAAACAGTTTGTAACAACACTGAGGATTTCAAAGCTTCACGAGTCTTAAATGATTTCTCTTTAGATGAATTTGGCATTTGTACAACATCTGAGGACAGACAGATGGCTGAAAACATCCTTAGCACCAAAGTCCCAGAAACAACAATGTGGTACTGTTACTGCTAAAAGCTAGTAAAGGTAGGTTAAAATTAAAACTGCTCTAGCTAACTTCGGCCCTCTAACTATTCAACTGTTAGAGAGTGAGTGAAAATCAAAACAAACTCAGGCAGTAACCCCTCCTCTTCTCCCTCTGCTCCTCCTTGCCCCTCCTGCCTTGGGAAACTTTGTCCTATGTGGTAACTACAGCCAGAGACGGACCCGGCCGTCAAGCAGCTCAGCAGTAATATTAACACAAATGGAATAAAGCCCATAGAGCCTGTGGTTTTCTGTGGCAGTACAACAACAATGACCCTTTTTCCTACCTAACACAAGCAAGTCATACAGAGGAATGATTTTTCCCAGTAATATTGATATTTCTAATGTTCCAGCTACTATTGCATTGTGTTCAGTGTTACATACGTGACACACATATTGTGACATAACCATGAGTTATAAGTGAATAAATTGAAATCACGTTACACTTTGATAGCTGAACAAACTCCCCACTTTTCTAGTTATGTTGATGGTGTAAATTTTAACATCTCAGATTTTAACAACACTGGCCATAGAGGGAAAGAAATAAACACAGGGCCTGAAGCTTAGCAAGGTGGGAGGGGGACAGTAGAGCAGGGAAAAACATTTCTAGACAGTTTTTTACTTGATTTATCCAAAATTGTGCTAAATCAGCTTTAATGTTTACAACTGTACTCACTCCTGCTGTCAATAAATATCATATTCAGAAATGCCGAAGTCATTTCACATCAAAGTTTGTGTCCTCAACAGTCAGTTACACAACATTAAACATGTCACTCTTACATTATATAAAAATACATTTGGCAAATCAGGCCAGGCAGTACATCCCAGTTTTACCTGTCTACTCAGCAGCTACAAGCAGAGCGGCACATCGCTCTTCGTCTTTACACAACTATACAAAACACAACGAAATGAGCTTGAAATGTAGGCAACGTGTATAAACCGACATGTTTGGAAATAGTGCATAGAGACTGATATCAGTTTCAGGAGAGACCTGACATACCTCATGTGGAAAAGCAATATTTTAAAAATTGGTTGAAACCTCTTAAATGATTTTTAAAAAAACAAGGTGCTACCATAATCTGCTTCATTTCTTGAGATGTTCAGAAAACATTCACAGTTGATGGTGTTCAGGATTAAATCCAGGTCAGGGTCAGTGTGTTTAGATGTTTGGTAGGTGGTAGTTGAATTTGCGCAAGTTGTACTTCTTATTGTCCAGAGCTGGGAAGATGCTGCTGCCCGTCAGCTGTGGCAAATACTGGTGGAAAAAAATGTAGGGGAAAAAAATGAAGGTCCAGGGACAACCTCGAGAGCAAAACATTATTCTTTTACATGGATACAATTAAGTGATCAGTGTAAGAAAAAGGGTTCCCTTTGGTTGTGAAATAAAAACGAGAGATGCAGTGAAAGGAACGTTTCCGATTTGATTTTGCATGTGGACGTTTTAAGTCCGGTCATAATTCTCGCCCTTACCCCAGGAGGAAGGTGCTTGCGAGGGAAACGGGTCCTCTTGTTGCTGGAGCGTTCCTGCTCTCGAGACGAGCTCTTGCTCTTTTCTCGCAGGCTGTCGAAATACGGGTGCTGGAGGAGCTGCTCGCAGGTCAGCCGCTCGGACGGGTCCATCCTCAGACAACCCTACACCATGAAAACCACCAGCATGAGGAGACAGGCAGGGCCATATAATTCATCTTCCCAGTCTTTATGAGCAGATGTCATGAAAGTTTTCTAAATGTCTCACTGCTTACGGGCAGAATTATGCAAGTAAGCCTGACTTTACAGAGTATTTACTCACACACAGCACCTTACACACACTTTTCTGATTTGTATGAACAAATCAATGAACATTTGTATAAATGTAAAATTCAGCTAAAGATATTTGGTCTCATATTAAGGTTTTTCATTACTTGCATGGCATTTCATTACTGTTTGACGTACATATAATAATAATATAGCAAAACAATAATAATGCAAAATATCTGGACTAAAGTCTTAATCTATAACTCATGTATTTGTTGTATTGTATATGTTAGAAATGCATGAGATTTTTATTTTGCTGCATTAAAACAGGTTGAAAAACAGACAAACAGGTGTTAAGATGACAGTAACCTCCAGAATCCTTTAGGCTAAAGACGACGCTTTACCTTCATGAGACTCAGAGCTTGGTGGGAGAGGTTCGGATATTTCTGCTCCAAAGGTTCCTACAGGAAGAAGAAAGGACAACAATTCAGAATATTTTGGATTTTACTTCCCAGAATCCAACCCGGCTTGGGACATTTTAGTTTCCTGTGTTTCTGTCGTTCTTACCATAATTATACAATATTCACCCTTTGTGTGCTGGGTTTATGCTGCACTTACAACTAGACAGTTTCTGATAATAACCAGTGGAGATCTAATTAAATATTGACAGCATCCTTCCTCACCATCTCTTGTGGCTCGGGGATGGAAACTCCACTGAAGAACTGATTGTTGCTGAAGACCTGCTGATGTCGAGGGATCAGGTCTCCTGCAGAGGACAAGACAAACTTATTTAGTCTTTTTTTTAATTATTGATTGTTCAGAGGTTTTTAGATATTTTATAATTTACATCCAATCCTGGCAAAAATGTAGAATTTTATTAATCTTCCCAAAAATGTCACAATAGTGGAAAAGTATCTTTCTTGCTGTATTCCATTCTATTGGCACTTATTTTTGAAAAAAAAACTCTAAAGACTCTAAAGTGCACATGCACGGACAGACTATGAGACAATGGGCTGCTGTGCACAGACATGTAAAAGGCCCACACCTCTCACACACACTGTGTCCTAAAAAATAATGACATAGTTGATGTCTCTGTTAACATTTGCAAAGTGAAGCATGATCACATGCTATTTGCTTTATGAGGACTTGATGTTCATCACATTAAAGTACAAATACATATGCATAAGACAATAAATGAGAGAATTAATCACCCTCTGGCACTGTCTTAACTGTACTACTATTAACTATCATTAGTACTAACATGCTTCACTGTACTGTAACAGGACAAATTCCAGGTTTACCCTCAGTCCAGCAGCGGACTCATCTTACCCAGAGTCTTTCTAATCAGGTACAGCTGGTCCATGTCGGACTTCCCGGGCCACAGAGGAATCCCTGACAGCAGCTCTGCGAACACACAGCCAATCGCCCATACGTCCACCGGGGGGCCGTACTGAGTGTCTCCCACTAGCAGCTCAGGGGCCCGATACCAACGAGTGGCCACGTAGTCTGTGTAGTAGTCACATGGACCAGCTAATGGCACACAATACAGGGACAATCAGGACCATGCTTAGCCTAATATACTGGTTTTATGTTGTCCCTTAAACTGTATAACAAAGGTTTCCCCCTGGTCACAGCTGTAAAAAACCCTTAAAGTATGACAACACTGAGTACAACATGTAATGACAGCCAATGTCTTCTAGGTGCCACTATGAAATATGTAATAACAACTGTTGATGAAATATTAAAACGTACTGAGGATCCTGGCAAAGCCAAAGTCACAGAGTTTGATGACTTGGTGTTTGGTGATGAGAATATTCTCTGGCTTGACGTCTCTGTGAATGCACTGCAGAGACACAAACAGTCAAATCAAATCAGTGCACGACTTAAGAACAGCTTGAAAGCTCAACTATATCACTGCACTGCGTGTTGTTTACCCCGTCTTTACGTTTACACATAATGCTCATTCTCAGTCTTACACTTTTATACATTTCATTACTTTGGGTGCTGTGATTTTGGTAATCACTGCTATTGCTACTGGATACCGGAAATTTCCCTCAGGATCAATAAAGTATCGACCTACTGTATCTAGTGTGCTCAGATGCTTGTGACTGTGAGATGTTGAAAGTAAAGGGCCAGTGTGAGAGAAACAGTGCTTTCTGGACTTCATGCCACCCTATTAAATGGGGGCTGTTGTAACATTTGTTGTGTCTAGGTGACATATTAACTGCTGGTCAGCCAAGGGGAAGAAATTCTTGTTAAAAAGGAGCCATAAAACCCAAGGCTCGGTGGGAGCTGGAGGAGGGAGGAGACCAGAAACATTCCAAAACAAGCCAAAGGGAAGGTCTGACACGTCACAAATTCACTGTAGCCTACACAAAGACACAGTAAGAGCAGAAACAGAGCAGCATGCAGAGTCAGTCACTTACATTTTGTTTGTGACAGAAGTTGACGGCTTGAAGCGTCTGCCAAGTTATACTTTTTAGAAGATGCTCTGGAACACTGTAAAGCAACAAGGAAACAGCACGTTAGGCTGAAAAAGATTTGTTGATGAAACAATTAAATGACCAAAAGAATCTATTCAACTTTGACCTTGTAAATAGCAGTCCGACAAAACCAAAATTTGCACAAGTTAACCTTTTGCACATTCTCCAACCAAGTAAGAACTCCATCAGCTAAGATGGGGATAAAATCTCTTTATTGTCATCTCTAGTGTTCCCTTCTATGCTCTGTATTTCAGACATCCCTCCCCTCAGATGGCAGTAGATGAGTAGGTCTGCTGTTTCCATTGTGAGCGCCGATGCTCAACACTGAGGCTTTGTTGGTTCAGCGACCATCATCTATCACTGTTGCTGGGGAAATGACTAAATCGAGCCATGTGACTAGCGATTAATAACAATCTCCGCCCCTTCTCCTACTCTGTTTTGTCTTCTTTTGAACCCAGAGGGCTGCAGGCCAGGAACCGAGGGGGAAACTAGAGAGTGAAAACACTCCGTATAAAATGTGGCCGGACCTAAGGAGCCCTGACAGCTCCCCACCTGCAAAGCATTCTGGGAGAGCATCACTGTAAACATACCACAGTGAGCAGGTCAGCCTCTCCGGAGACAAGCGTTGTGCCTGTCAGAGCTGGACAAAGCACAGTGTGGTATATATGTAATGTAGAGATAACACAAAGTACACAGCACTTTGTGTAATGACAAGCAGCCAAAGTCAGAGTTATGCTCTCAGCATTTCAATGTGGCAGCATGAATGTTTGTACAGTACCCTGAGGGGCCTGTTGTGTGTTCAGCTCAGAAAACAGTAAACTTCTTACTGCTTCATTTTGTATTTTGTGTTTCTGTGTGCCCATGTTTGACACACTGTTCTTTGAGTAAATATTTCAACAGAATAAAGTCCAAACCTGAAAGTTCTAAGAAATTCAAAGCTCGTTCTTGCCCTTGGAAACAACGGTTGACAAAACAATGTCACCAGCACGTCCATATAGTAGCTGTTCTGCAGCTTCAAAGCGCATGACCTTCAGTACACAATGTGATTTAAAGCTCAAGAACAGCTCCTAAATGGACTTTGTGGTGAGAATGTTTAGCCAACAATCTTTTTCACACACTTGAATTGAGTCTCTCTGTTCATTTTTACTCACAGTGTACTTCGATCATGAATTTGGACGTCTTTTTGTGAAACAACAACGCTTCGTGACCCTGAGCCTTCCCTTAGTTATGCTGCTATAGGCCTAGGCTGCTGGGGGGCCCCATGATGCTCTGAGTTTCTTTCCCCTCCCCTCTCC